TTCACATTGTAAAGTTTGCAGATGATACAGCGGTGGTTGGATGCATCACAAACAACGAGGAGGAGGTGGAACATCTGGAGAGCTGGTGCAGGACGAACAACCTTCACATCAATGTGAAGAAGATGAAGGAGCTGCTCATGGACTTCAGAAGAAACAAACACACCTACACCTCATGGACATAAGAGGATCTGTGGTGGAAGTGGTCTCCAGCTACAAGAACTTGGGTGTACACCTGAACAACCTCAGCTGGAGCACCAACACCACCAGCCTGATGAAGAAAGATCATCAGAGACTCTACTTCCTCAGACGGCTGAGACGAGCTGGTCTGGAAGCTCAGTCCTCACCTCCTTCTACAGGTGTGCAGTGGAGAGCATCCTGTGCTCCAGCATCAGTTCATTTACAAAGTGCCAGTTCACAACAAAGTTGTCTCAGACACTGAACAGGAACATTCACAAACAGAGAAAATACAATTAGTAAAGTTAAACTGCTCTAATGTGTAATTATTGTGATTACTCCTGGATATGTATTTTGTGTATTTGGTTTAGTATTTTGGATTTGTTGTATGTTTTATGCTGCTGTCTTGCCCAGGTCACTCTTGGAAAAGAGGTTTTTAATCTCCATGAGTTATTTTCCTGGTTAATTTAAGGATACATACAAAGTTCTCTAAGGAAGCAGCAGACTCGTTGAATCTTCACTTCGTTGCAGTCTCCCATCTGATTATCTCATGCTGCTGATTATCTCACGCTGCTGATTATCTCACACTGCTGATTATCTCACACTGCTGATTATATCACGCTGCTGATTATCTCAGCTGCTGATTATCTCACGCTGCTGATAATCTCACGCTGCTGATTATCTCACGCTGCTGATTATCTCACGCTGCTGATTATCTCATGCTGCTGATGATCTCACGCTGCTGATTATATCACGCTGCTGATTATATCACGCTGCAGATTATATCACGCTGCTGATTATATCACGCTGCTGATTATCTCATGCTGCTGATGATCTCATGCTGCTGATTATATCATGCTGCAGTATTAATATACATCTGCTCACACAGACTCATGTTCAAGCTGCTGTTTAATACATCATATTACTTTACATTATTAGTGTTTAGTGTATATCTCAGGTCTTTATTTACCGTTTCTTTTTATTCTTTATATTTTTGCTATTTTTGGGTGTAACTGGGACCTTGAGCACACAGTGTGGTTCCACGTCATGTACTGCATGTGATGCAAACAACAATAAAGAACTTGAACCTTCAGGCAGTTACCTGGGGCGGCGTCGTGGTGAAAGTCCCTGCCTCAGCTGACGGTCCTGGAGTCAGTGGGGACGAACCAGATGCTGCAGTTTGAGTTGTAAAGCAGTCTCCCGGAGGTTTCTGGGGCCAGGGAGCGGAGGGCTGCTGGAGGTACGGGTCTGAAGAGGGTCGAGGCATCCCTGCAGGCGGTGCGTATGGGTCAGCGCCCCGCTGAGTCCCTGGTGAGCGTGGGAAGCGCTCCGAGGGGCGGGGCATCCCTGGGGTGGATGTGTAAGGGTCTGGTGGCAGGTAGGATGGGGACGGACGCCGGTTGCCAGGCTGCTGGGTGAACTGGTCCAGTTTTAGTGGAGAGGGGGTTGTGAGGTAGGCAGAATCAGAGTGGGGGAGTGGCGTACTAGGGGTCTGAGGGTTACTGTAGTGGTCGGGGGAGGGCCTGGAGCTCAGTGGGGACTGCTGGGAAAGGACGTCCTGCTGGCTGTAGTCTGGTCGGGGGGTGCCGGGGGTCTGAGTGTAGGGGCTGCGGTGAGGGGAGCCCAGGCCAGACAGAGGACTGGAGGGAAAAGCGGGTTCCAGGACCGAAGGGAGGGAGAATCCCAGGTCTGTGGGTCTAGATGGCTCCCTCCGTACTCCTCCTGCCTCCTGCAGGGGGGGCATGGGGGCCTTAAATACCCCTCCCTGGATAAACTCGCCCCCCCGACCAGGAGACCCCGGGGCCACCACCCGCTGATTCATCCTTTGATGAACTTCAGCCGCTCGAAGACCAACGTGTCTCCCTGTCAGGTCGGGGGCGGAGCCTGAGGAGGGGCTCATCTTCCCCGTCCGGCTCTGAGGTACACCTGCAAGGACAACACAGGGGAGGAGTTACAGTAGTCCCTCGTTACTTCAAAGTTCATTTTTCACTGACTCGCTCTATCGCAGTTTTTCAAAATAAGAGTGGACATGATACACCATTGGCTGACTGATGGATGAGCCGCATGATCGGCATGGAAGTTTTATTTAAAATAAATAATTTAAAATTATTTAGCACCTGCTGCACATTTGTGCTGTCCTTACTGCAGGATAAACTTCCTGCTGCAGCTGATCAGCTGTTCTGCGCGCATGAGCAGCTGATCAGCACAGAGCGGAGAAGTGGGCGTGACCAAGAGTGCTTGCAGGAGGCTGAGAGCTGAAATCATGACATTCTGTCTCTTTTAGAGTTTATAAACATTGTTTAGAATATTGTAAGAGTGTGGGAAGCTTTAAAACACCTTTATATACAGACCCTTTCCAAAAACTTAGAATATCACGGAAAAGTTGTTTAACTTCCATAATTCCATTCAAAAAGTTAATCTTTAATACATGATAGATTCAGGGCCCACAATTTAAACTATTTCAACTATTTATTTATTTTTTGCATAATTTGGGCTTCCAGCTCATGAAACCCACAAAAACAGGATTTCAAAAAATGATAATACTGTGGAGACATCAGCCCAGATGTTGCAGGACATGAATGTTTTAAACTGAGTGTGACACTGATCATCTGCTAAACTCAAAGCACCTGCACAGGTTTCCCCAGGTGTCATTAAATTGTCTCAGTTCAGTTCAATATGGTGAAGACTGCAGACAGAACATCTGTCCAGAAGACCATCATTGATGCCCTCCATAGGATGGGTAAGACACAACAGTTCATAGCTAAGGAGGCTGGCTGTTCATAGAGCGCTGTGTCCAAGCACATCAATGGAAATATAGTGGAAGGACAACATGTGGCAGGAGAAGGTGCACCAGCAACAGAGATGACCGTGGGCTTCAGTGGATTATCAAACAGAGAAGATCCAGAATCTGTCAGAGATCCAGAATCTGTCAGAGATCCAGAAAGAGTGGAATGAGACGGAGTCACAGCTTCAAAAACCACCACACACAGACTCATCCAGGAGATGGACTACAGCTGTCAGGTTCCTCGGTCCTCTTTTCCGATGAAAGTAAAGTGTGCCTTTCATTCAGAAATCAAGGTCCAAGGGTTTGGATGAAGAAGGGTGAGGAACAGAACCCATACTGGTTGAGGTCCAGTATAAAATATCCACAGTCAGTCATGATCTGGGTGCAGTGTCCGGTGCAGGTGTTGGTAAACTCTGCTTTCTTCAATCCAAGGTCACAGCAACAGTCTACCAGAATGTTTTAGAGGACTTCATGATTCCTTCTGCTGAGGATCTGTATGGAGATGCAGAGTTCATCTTCCAGCAGGACCTGGTCCCTGCTCATGCTGCCAGAAGCACCAGAACCTGGTTTGATGCCACAGCTTGACTGGCCAGCCAACTGGTCGGACCTAAACACCATTGAGAATCTATGGGGTCTTCTAAAGAGGAACATGAGGAGCACCAGAGCAACAACAAAGAAGATCTGACAGCATCAAGGAAATCTGGGCTTCCATAACTCCCAGTCAGTGCCACAGGCTGATTGTCTCAATTCCATAACTCCCAGTCAATGCCACAGGCTGATTGTCTCAATTCCATAACTCCCAGTCAGTGCCACAGACTGATTGTCTCAATTCCATAACTCCCAGTCAGTGCCACAGGCTGATTGTCTCAATGTCACATCGAGGCAGAGATTAAGACAAAGAGATTCACAAACAACTATTGAAGATTGATATATTGATTTGAAAGAAACATATTTTAATTGATTTGTTCTGATCCTAATTTTTTTTTTTTTCAAAAACTGAGAAGTGTGGACTGATGTCTCCACAGTATTATGATTTTAGAAAATCCTGTTTTTATGGGTTTCATGAGCTGGAAGACCAAATTATGTAAAAATAAAAAAATAAATCAAATTATACAAAAAATAAAAAAATACTTGAAATTGTTTAAATTGTGGGCCCTGAATATATCATCTATTAAAGATTAACTTTTTGAATGGAATTATGGAAGTTAAACAACTTTTCCATGATATTCTAAGTTTTTGGAAAGGGTCTGTATATACGTTCATTCATTCAACCTTTATTTCTACAGGTTA